GCTCTCAGATAATGTCAATTCTGCTGGTCTTTGGGCCACACTTTGAGTAACAAGGATCTGGACTGTACTCCATGTTAGAGAAAGATGCCCATGAATCTTGTTGAGATCTACCTTGTCTCTCACACAGCTGGCAAAGTGACTGGTGCTCAATAGATGCTCTCTCTCTATATTTGTTGAATGAATGAGAGAACTCCTTGTGTCTAAGTTTACTATTAGCTATAGCAGACATATCCTAGAAAAATCCAGAGATTATTTTAAGAAAAAAAAGGTAAAGCAACAGAGATAAAACAAGCTTATTTTAGTCTTCCTAGCTGACTTTCATCCTCATTGCTATAGTCCCTGCACTTATGGGCTAGTGCTAATAGACATGGCTCGTTCAAGAATCAGCAGAGTGGGCCCATTGGGTAGATGGTTGCTAGGGGTTCAGTTCCAATGGTTTATTTATTAGTTGCTCATCAAACACCTATTTTGCATCTATTGGATGACAGCTGTAAAATAGTCTTGGGTATGCATCTTTAAGTAGGAGTTATGAGCTATAATTTATGTACAACATTTTTACAAATATTATTTTGTGAATATGTGGGAAGAAATGATTTGAAAGAGATGTTCAGTTCAGGTATGTTTTTCTAACTAATGGAGAATAAAACAAACACATTTCAGCTTTTTTATTCCTCTGAAAATTTTTCCCACATTATCACAGTCCTTAACCAAAATATAGTATAAAAGGAAAACAATTTCATGCTTGCCTGTTTCAAGACTGTTTGAAAAAAATCACCTGAGACATGAAGTGGTGAGTTCCGGGAGCATGGGAGTCTGTGTCTGTTCTTTCGCTGCTCTGGGCTGAGAGCAGGCTCTCAGTATACCACTTTTGAGCGACAGAAGCTGACAAGGTGACCTGGGTAATTTAAGCCCCCAGTTGTGTTAAATTGGGGGCAATCATGGTAAGTTTTGAAAAATCCAAACCATTGTTTTGACTTTTCGCTTTGGTACATAACCCTGAGCTTAATGTGATTGTTAAAGTCCTAAATGTTTTTTTTTTAAAAATTAACTTCTAGAGGAATAATACTGGGAAAAATCAATAGTTTGCTAGAGGGCTTCCCAGAGCCATTAATGCTAATGTGCATTGGGAATTCCCAATAAGCATTTCTCAAACCTATTTGACCCTGCAACTCCCTTTTCATGGAGCATTTGGGTTCTGTGGACTTTGGGAAAAGCTGTTCTATATTGTATTTCATTTTCCCTGTCTCTAAGGAAAGCTCGCGATTATCTGCTTTGAAAGCTGCTTATTTGTGAAACATAATCTAGATGAGTATTTGAAGATCAATACATGAATTATTTTAAAATATCAATTATAAATAACAAGTAAAGATGTTCAGATAAAGAAAACTCCTTGGCGATTAGGAGTAAAATGCTCTCCCTTCTAAAACTCCACTTTTCAGGATGTTACAGCATATCTTCACTTGTGTTTTTCTCTCTATTCTAGATCAGTGCCTAGAGTTATTGATCATGTGCAATTTAGCATCTATTTTGAAAGGCAACATCTATTTACCACATTGAGCCATATCCGGATGTGTGAGGTAGTTTCTTTCCATATTCCTCTTCAAATATGTAAGCTTTTGGTCATTTATCTTAGTTTTAGAGATTTTTAAAAAATAAAAAGATAAAATTCCTTCTCCCTAAATTCCTCAGACTGAGGCAGCTGAGAGGCTATGACCATGGCAGCCTTTATTTTCCATGCTTGTATTTCCTCAAGTCTTTTTCTCTGGCTCTGCATTTTGAATATCTTCTTGGGCACAATCAATACACCAAGTACTATATATATATGTATTTTGTATCTGTTCTCCTCTGTGAATTGTAATGATATTCTGTCTCCCTTTCTCTATGCTCATAATTTCAGATATGAGTTCTATTGCCCTTGAAACTGACTTCTTATAAGAACAGAAATATAAATAAGGACAGAAAAAATAGATCCTTATTAAAGTGACTTCCACAATACCCATTTCTCTTTTCTTTCCTCTTCTTCTTCTTCTTCTTTCTTTCTTTTAGTATTTTAGGACACTCATGGCTAAAAGAAAAGAGAAATTTGTGAGGAAAAAGAAACTTTGGTTAATTTAAGAAAATTAGTAAAAGTTAAAAATATTATTTTTAAAATGTGTTTCACCATTTGGTGAAATTTTAGCTCAGAAGTATATAGGCCAAGAGGATTTTCTGTGTTAAGAAACTTTCTATCTTAACTCCGTTCTGATCTTTCTTTAGCAGGATATAATTTTTTAAAGTTCAGTGAACAGCTTCTTCTAATCCATTTAGAAGTAGGCGGTTGTGGTCATTGCTAACCAAAGGCTCAGGAGTTGACTGAGAGGAAAGCTGAGGGTTTCTTCTCCCCTTGCTTATGTGATTGAGACCTGAAATTGTACCAAGTACTATCAAAAAATTTAGGTGTAAGATGTGAGGACTACAGTGTATTGCAGTACACACATACACACACACATTTATACATGTATATACATGTATATATACATACATATAAATATGGTCACTTTAGACTTGAGCCTGAAATCCCAGGAGATTTTACATCAGAAAAGCAAGGGTATCGGCCCTTCCTTTCCCACTTAACTTACTGTTAATCTTTTGTAAAGATTGTACTTAGATATTTGTAAATGCTGAAAGATTGTATCCCAATAAAGAGAGGAAATCTACATCATAATGGTTAGAGTTTTAATTGATGTTAAACTAATAATCTTAAGGCTTTCATGGGTGTAAATAAAAATATTAATAGTAGGTATATCTGGGTGATGGGATTGTAGACAGTCGTAATTATTTTATCTATATAGCTTTTCAAGTGTTCTATAATGAGCATCTCTTAATTTTATAGTCAGAAAAATGGTGGTTTAAAATGACTCGTGTATTTAGGAAGTATAATGAACTTTTAGAAGTTCTTTTTCTACAGACTTTTCATTATCGTTCTTTTTATCTACAGAGTTTTACCTACCTCAGAACACAAATGAGTCACTAAGGATGACTCCCTCCATTCATCAGCTTGGGCTGCTGTAAGAAAATACCACAGACTGGGTGGTTTAAAAAACAGAAATTAATTTTCTTGCAGTTTTGGAGGCTAGAAGTCTGAGATCAGGGTGCCAGCATGGTTGGGTTCTGGTGAAAACTTACAGATGGCTACCTTCATGCTGTGTTCTCACCCGGCAGAGAGAAAGAGAGACAGGGGAAGCAAGCTCTCTAGTGTCTCCTCTCATGAGGGCACAAATCCCATCATGAGGGCCCCATCCTCATGACTCCATGTAACCTTGATTGCCTCCCAAAGGCCTCTTCTCCAAATACCATCACATTGGGAGTCAGGGGTTCGACATAGGAATTTTGGAGACACATTGATATTTAGTCCGTAACACTCCCTTCAGTCCAACTGGCAGTATACAAGATTTCCAGAAATTGCATCTGAAATAGAAAAAGACTGGCAGGCTATACATAAAAACATTAATGATGATTATTTCTGGATTGTTGATTTAGAGGGGATTCTCTCCATTTTCTATGAATTTAATGTGTATTTAAATACTTTTATAACTGGAAAAATAAATATTATTTTTAAAAGAAAATGATATACTACAGAATGTTGCATTCTGTAATAATCTTGCAAATTTCAGAATCTTTTTATTTCATCTTCTTGGAGCTTTTCTGGGAATTAATAAAAGTATCTGCAGCACTCAGGTATTGGCACGCAGTGGAGCTCAGGAACTAGTTGCTGCTCCTCATTTTCCTCCTTTTAAGGACGATGGCAACATTAATGATAGTGATAATTATCATATTGCCACATGAGACATGCCATTGGGCATATAGGAAAATAAAATAGAAAATAGCCAGAAAATCAGGACAGACGTATTTGTTGCAAAGTTTTTTCTATAAGTCAGTTATAAACAGAATAGCGCATTCATTGTCTTTACTTTTGGAACCCTTGGTGAAGAAAAAATGGGTTGGTGGCTTTTCATTTACATTCAGTTACAAATGTACTATAAGCTCCTTGAATCCGTACAATAAAATGGCAAGTAGACGGTAACATGAGAAAACTTAAAGTCAAACTTTCAATGTGTTTCATTCCAAACACTGATTTGATTCTTATACCTGAGGTCACGGAAATTTTTTTCCCATATAACAGCTTTCTCTTCTCTGCTTTCTAATGCATCATTTCTTATTATGCTCTATCTTATGTGTAGAATCTGTCATTTAATTTTTAAAAAAAATTCTCCATGGTTGTTTTTTCTCAACTAATCCCACATTTGAGTGTAATATTTCTAGATTTTTAACTCTGTAAATCAATAGATTAGAAATGCCCTGCAAGGTAGTAATGTTTTTTGTCATGTAGGGAGCTGACTACTGGCCAAATAAATCATGATGTTATGATACATTATTTCCAGTGGCTATACATTTTCAAGGTTAGTGTATCAATCTTTACCAAGTCTAGATTCAGTTATTTAATTTCACTATGTCTGTATTTAGATGGGAATCCTTTCCCCATTAGAAGATGTTAATTTCCTTCTCTCTCGGAGTCAAATTCCAAGCATGCCTTATAAAAATAGCCACAGAATATACACATGAACAAACCATTTTTGTGTTTACAAATAGACTCAAAAACATACACCAGTAAACTATATCTGAAATTATAAATTGGTCCACTTCAGTGGTGTTTTTGTTTTTTTTAACACTTTAGATCACTTTTATCACTGTTGATTTGGTAATTTGATTCCCAGATATTAGACAAACATGTTTAGGTAACTCTCTGTATTGTATTGACACATGATCTTTAGTGGGAGCTTGAAAAATAAACTCACAAATGATCATCAGAAGTGAAAAAAATAAATTGTTCTAAATTCATGGCTATATCTACACCATAGTTAACGTATTACTACCAAAATTGCTTTCTGGAATTCTGTTTTGATGCTACTGACAAAACAATTGTTTTCTCTTCCTTTCTTTCCTCCTTTTTTTACCAACAGGACACAAAAATCGCTTCATTGGAGCGAAACATAAGGGATCTTGAGGATGAGATCCAGATGTTAAAAGCCAATGGTGTGCTGAACACTGAGGACCGCGAAGAAGAGATCAAACAAATAGAGGTTTACAAAAGTCACTCCAAGTTCATGAAAACCAAGGTATGGTCCAAAGTTATAAACTTTTATACTCTTAGTGTGACTGGAAAGTTATGGTTTACATACGTATTTTCCCCAAATACCCACATAATCTGCTTAGTGTGACGTCATGAAATATATGGACAATAAAGAAGAGTGCAAAGATTTTTAGTTCAGAAGCATAGATTCCAAAGAGAAATCAGGGAAAACATTTGGTAGAATTTCTACTTAATGAGGGGTCTAGGATTGAGTTCCTTTGGTGTCCCTCTGTCTTTGGAATTAACATCTAATACTTGTTTTCTTTCTAACATTTATTATTTCTTCTCTCTTCCGAATTTCCTGAGTTTTCAGAAGTTTGCTATTTTTTAAAGTTTCTGTCATTGCCAATTTTTTGGCCTATCCCTAGAAGGTGATTGTCTCAAAAGATGTTGATCTTGGAAGCCAATTTAACTGATTTCACTGGTATGAAGACATTTTGGTTTTAGCACAATGTTTGACAGAATTGATTTTGAGTCTCAAAGCTGCTGTTTGCTTAAATTATTCAACCTCTCGAAGCCTCAGTTTCTTCATCCATGAGATAAGGGGATAAGAAAAAGAAAAGTGCCTTCATCATTGGGTTTCTTTGACGATTCTGAGAGATTATGCATTTAAAGCACTTAGTCCCTTAACTGATCTCTAATAAGCATTCAATAAATGTCAGGCATTATTGTTAGTGGTGTTATTATTGTTGTTATCTGTTGCCATGGAATATTTATAAAATAATATTAATATTATTAAAATATTAATCTATCTCATTAATTTATGTCAATATTGCCAGTTTTAAAGAATTTGGCTTGTATTTTTCAAAATTAAACTTTGGGCTCCAAATGGACTTAGAACCTGAGTATCTATTATTTTTACATATAGAGAATTATTAAATTTATGAATAGCCCCAAATAGGTCTTTTGAGACTTTGAGATATTTTTATTTATTCCTCTATTTCAGCACTTTGCTTCTGAAAATAATAACCACACCAATTAAAATAATTTTTCTTTCTTTTTTCTACCACTTGCTCTTAAATATCCCTGTTCTTATTCTAGGTTTTACTCCTGCTTGTTGTCTTACAAAATGCAGCAGATTTAAGAGTAATACACACTTCTGTGAGAAAGCAGTGGGAGTGGAGAGAAAAAAATGTTTAAATGATGGTTATGATTTTTATCAGTTGTGAAATACATGCATACTCATTGCAGAGAATTTGCAAATTATAGAGAGGAAATAATAATATCTAGCATCTACTTCACCATGTATGTATGTATGTGTGTTTCTCTAGGGAAAAAAGCAAAAAGTATGCTTACTTCTGCCAACTTTCCATCTGTGAGTTGACATTGAGATTATGACTAAAAATTTGAACCAAGGAGTGGAGACATGAGAAGGAGAATGTCCATTGGATGTGAATGTAACCCTTTCCTTTCACGGACTGCCACGAGATGCAGCATGGCTTTCCCTGCACAGCCCTGCTTTCTGGTTTCTTTTTTTCAGTGCTTCCCTCTCAGAGAGTTGAGCTGAGAGGCAGCAAGCCCAGTAGTAGGGTGGCCTGTAGACGATGACCAAATCATGCTGGGAGTGAAGACCAGAGGCACAGATATGAGTGAACTCATGAAGTTTGGGGGAAATTTATTGTTTTGGCTTAAACATTTCCTCCCCATCCTGTCATTTAACAGTGGGAGATAGTTCAAACCACTTCTACAACTGAAAATACCATGAAATTTGTAAACTCCACCCCTCGCCATGGACTCTGTCCAGGTGAATAAAACATGTATATGGTTTTCAGCAAGCAAGTCGTGACCTTTATTAGCCCACAGTTGTTTGAGAGACCATCAATCCTTGAGTTAGTTTTAACTTTTAATGGTTAGTTACTTTTAAGAGTTCCAGAAGTGGTCATGGCAGAAGGATGTTTGAGGAGAGAAATGGAGTAAGATAGAAAGAGTGCAGGCTGAAGACTAAAGCAGACTCTGGCAAATCTCTAGCCTGCCCTTGCTAGCTGCATGGCCTTGGGGAGTGACTTATGTCACTCAACCGTACCTTCCTCTTCTGTAAAATGGGGGCAACACCACAAACTTACTGGGTGATTCAGTGGGTTAAATGAAATAATAATGTAAAGTGCTCAAAAAAGTAGCTAATAATTATACTCATTATTGAGGCAGTATAACCATATAATGATGATGATGATAATAATAAATTTTATATATAACTTGACTAATGGGGAAAAATGGATTCCAAGAAATACAAATAAAAATGAATTCTTAGAATGTCATAAAGATGTATCATGAATGTTCTTATTGGATTGACCCGTAACATTTATTGCTCATACTTCATATCTTTATTTCAATTGCTTATTTTTCTTCTCTTACTTTTGGATTTCTTATTTAAGCCTGGGAATGGTTGAGCAGGTCTATCAAGACACAGCTATTGCTAAGCGTTTAGTCCTGAGTGCCTGTCTTGTGCTTTGTGGGATCCCTTAGGCTTTGTGAACTGATTCCAGTCGAGTGAATCATTTATCATGGAACTTGTTAAATTTTAGAGGCATGGGTTGATGTTGTTTAAAATTGATCGCTAGCATAGTTCATGGTCCATTGTGGCCTATTTGCATAGCTTTTCTGCAGAATTTGTATAAATATGTTACTTGTCAACATCATCACAGATATCTGAGGAGTTCATTTTTGCAATAGTTGGTTACACACATTGATAGAACAATTGTTTAATGTCATCACTGGAGTCTCTTGACTTTCATTTATGCAGTGTTGCATGGGTAAAGCTTTCAATGAGGGATTTTGAGCTCTGTGGTCCCCGAAGACTTACTAAACATTGTTTTTAGCACGTGGCACTGAGCTAGTTACTGAGGGGCAGCAAAAATTGTGCAATGTTCAAAGTATTTCCCACTTCCCAATACTGACCACTTAACTGGGAAAGTAAGAAAAGCACTCAAAAAACTATCCTGAAGATTTGATAGGAGGAGAGTTTACTTCTGGCTAGAGTAATACAAGTTGTTTAGGTTTAGAGTGAGTGTTTTTTGTCTAAATATTCACATTGGTGAAACAGCAATGACAGGGCTGGTGAAGAATGCCAACTCCAATCCATGTCTGAGCAAACCTAGAAAGATAAGTAAAAATATCATCCCACCCCCAACTCCACACGGATAAGGAAGTAGGGAGAACTCAAGTGTATGTGAAATGATAGGTTTTCCAAAAAAGAAGAGAAACATTAGATTTAAGTTGCAAAAACCTAGGTGTTCTGAAACTTACTTGGGAAATGGAAATGTAATTGTTAAACTCATTGGGTTTATTGAGGCAGTGATAGAAATGGAAATCATCAAGTGACTTTGGATCCCAGCTAGCAGAAAATGCTAGATTTGAGGCAGGGATAGTTGACTGTAGAAACTGTTGTTTTGATGATTTATAAAGACTCTAAGAGTTGTGGTAGAAGAACGTTTCAGAAATTCTTATGAAATGCTGCATAAGAAGGGGAGTGGAACCCTTTGGGAACCAAACTTGAAATTGCAGCTAGATATTGTTACTTCCTGCTGTTTGTAATGAATATGCAGAAAGCTTTTAAAAGCGCCCCAGGGAACTTCTCTTTTATGGGGCCCTTTGGAGAGGCACCTTCAGAATGATCACTGTTTACAAAGGCGTCAGGCTTGGAGGTGATCTTTAATCTGAGTATTTCTCTTTTTTTTTGAGGAAGATTAGCCTTAATCGACTGTCAATCTTCCTCTTTTTTGCTGAGGAAGACTGGCCCTGAGCTAACATCCATGCCATCTTCCTCTACTTGATATGTGGGATGCCTGCCGTAGCATGGCTTGACAAGTGGTATGTAGGTCCGCACCTGGGATCCGAACCAGCAAACCCCAGGCTGCTGAAGCAGAACGTGCAAACTTAACCACTGCGCCACTGGGCCAGCCCCTAATCTGAGTAATTCTTTAATAGAGGTCTAAAATGTTTTCTATTGTGATTATGTGGAAGTTTACTATTTTTTAGATTTAAACAAGTTCAACTTAATCTTGAAAAAAAAGTAGCTCCTAAAATTGTTCACATATCCATCTTATCATTTGCTTATTGTTTTGCAATTTTAGTTGAAAATTATTTTTATGACCCGCTGGTGATAAAATTGACTCAGCATTTGATTCTTCTTCATTAACAGGGCATGCTCTCAAATCAGTCTCAATCTTAATATGTAATTATTTGCTCCAAAAAGATAATAAAGGTAGCTAGTAATAATTCTTATACACAGTTATTTTTAGATATGGAACCATCTTGAAATAGGTAATTTTAAATGTTTCAATGAAAATTTGACATAGAAACAATATTGTGGTATGAAAAGGGAGTGCTGCTTGCATTAATTATTAAAATGAATAAAGCATGTAGGTTGGAGGGAAAGGAAGTATTTTAAATAGCCATATGAAATGCCATGCACCTCCATTTTGATGCTGAGCAGATGGCTGGGACTGGTAGGGCCTCTTGAAAGCTTTGTGATTAAAAGACCTTGATTGCTTTTTATAAGTATGATGTCATAGTAAACCATGACATAACATTTTTGGAAAGAGGGAAGGTGAATTGCAAAAATGTAAAAGCAGAGTTTAAAATCTCAGCTTGTGCAAGGCAAGGATACCAGCCATAGTTGGGCAGAGTGGAACTCTCTCCATCTTGCAAGCCCTTTGGCATGTGTACGTGTCTCTGAGAACTGAGATTCTGGGAGACCTCCTGAGTGGTACAACTCTCCCATGTTTGAAACTCCGATTTCTGCCCCAACTCCGAAGGCTTTAAGGAATCAGACCGTGAGAGCAGAATCTAAGAGGCCATGAAAAGCATAAGTTACCTTCAGGAGCACTGTGAAGCCTTTAAGCATGGAATGTACCATATGAATAATTGTTCTTCTGGTAAGGAAGGAATGATGGCAGCCCCTGTTCTGTGTGTGAGGCTTTGTTCCTAGTCTAACACATTTTTCATCTACTGATCTCAGTGCTTCTATATTAGCCACTCACTCTGTTT